GCCCACCCAAGCCTGTCACGTACGACCTGGACCACTTACAATGGGTCAGGATCTTACACAACCAAGAAGTGTTGGACTCGGACCCCATCGGAGTGTGAGTCATAGAGACCACCTTGAGAAGGAGCTATTACAGCTGGACTTTGCGTCCTGAAAAGACCGAATTATTCCATTAGTTGTCAGCCTTCCAACACCAGTGCCACAAACTATGTGACGGTCTAGTACCTGTTTCAATCGACGGTAAACGACTCCGATAGTTTAGATGACAAGTGTTTGACTTAAATACCTGATCGCTCCTTACGCGAATTCATGTTTCAAGTGCACTAAGATCTGTGTTCGGGAATCAGCCTATCACAGCTAGACAAGGTACTTTCAATCGCTCTCTCTCTCTCTCTCCTTTTCTCTCTTCTTAATTTATTCTTCATCCCTGTTTGACCAACAATAACTACACGTTAAGTTCCAAGGCAATCATCGCCTTTGCCCATGCCTGTCTCGCAGTTAGGATAGATTGACGAGCGCCACTCTCAACTGAATATGCACCAGTTCTCGCCGCAACAAGGTCACATCACCTCCCATGACTTTGTACGGTTCGCCTGTTAATTTTTTCTAACGATTCCGCTCCAGACTTCAGACGCAGAATTGCCTATAAATCTGTCACAATTTCGCCTAGCGTGGCCAACAACAGCTTATTCTTTTCTCCTCTGTTCTTTTATTATGATCTACTCGTACAGTTCACTGCTATTTGAACCCAATTTTCAGTCTTTTTCCTAAATAACATCATTTCTAACTGTCGTTACCATTGGGCGAAAAACGCACCATTTTTATTCGTCGATCGATATTCTCGAGAAACCAGTTGCCTTCTGTGTGTCCCTTGTCTATCTCGGCACTCCTTGTTTGTCTACTTCTTTCTCCACATGCCAAATTTTCCCTATACTTTTCCTATCCGTAATGTGCCATGACTTACTCGAGGTGTTAACGCGAGCCTTCATGTGGTTCTGCCTCTTCGGCCGTCATCGTTAAGGACGAAAAAGTCGTATAACTTCGTCACCGCGGCGCTGTTGAATGAATCTCGGCTACCCTATAGATGGATGTCTTCATTGCTGACCATTGGCTATCGCCTGCACCGCCTGCTCGAGCCGTAAAGCGGGACTGGATTTCTGTGTTCCAGGCCTCTGCAGTACTGTGTTGCCGGGGTTTTGCCACATTAAGGGGTCTCACAAGTGGCATTTTGGCTGCAGATACGAGGTGAACCTTAAGACTTACGCGAGCAAGAACATGGTCAGTTCCCTGTGGGCGTTACTCGTTTCGGCACATTGCACATCGACTTTCTATCCTGAACCAAACTGTGGAACCTTGAACCATGCGCCAGGCCTCGTCCTTCCGTGCCCTGGTAGTAATGTCGCTACCGGTCCGCGACTGCTTATTCGCCAGGCTTAAGAGCCTACTTATTTCGCAGCTAACGTTCATTGAAGGCTGTTCTCCTATCTGTAAACTGTAAACACCCAAGGTAACTAGCAGCTAGGCTAAAGGGTGATCCATCTCCCTGGCTTTGCGACTACATCCATTGTTAGTTACATTGAGAGTGATTTTTTCATCACATCATGATGCGTATGAGTGGAAGAAGTGAAGTATGTGCTCTGAGAGTCTTCAGCACCACACACCAACCCATGCACAATTCGCGGTCGTTTCCCTCCCCGCCAGGTGCGGTCCCCGTCACCTGCGATGGGCACGCTTCAGAACTCCAGGGTGCTATTTAATCTGGCGACAAGGATGGGGGTGATGAATTAAGAATGCACTGGAAGTAGGTGATATGCGTGCAATTTTTTCGTGAATTTCAGTCCGTCGGGACATAGATTCCGAGAGACTGACGTGCATTCTGTACATTTCACAGATGGATTCTTTGCTTTCCAGCTTGTCTTTAGTTTTTTGCCTTTCCATGTAGGCTTTCGAAAGGCGCCTGCTTGTACGCGCCTACTTTGTGTTCTAGCAGATGTACAATCGATCCTTTCGTTACTTTTTCACCCTCGAGCAAAGTCTATTGTTCCACTTCCGACCGCGAACACGCTTATAGTTACAACAGTTCCGCCCATTTCATATCCGGCGTATTCCAGGTCCTAGCTACCCTCGAGGCTCTCTATCATTCTCGCATTATGTGCGTTGTTTGTGT